GCAGGTACAGATATCTAATAACAAGACAACACCATACAGCCAGACTATAAGCCATCCTTCAGCTGAACCTTTTCACCCTCCCCAGGGCTGTTGTGTTGAGAGTTATGGGCACACAACCCAGTGCCACTAGTTTCACCATCACCACCTACCCAAACTAATAGGGGCAAAGTGGCAGATGCGAGGTGGGCAGTGCCCGCCTGGGGGGAACACGATCTGCGGTAACGACATTAGATCCCAAAAGCAGCTCGAGGTGACAGCGACGAGCGTATGAGCGAAGGCAGCGGAGTGACTCGGCAGGTGAAAAGCGTGACGGGTCATTTAGGCGCCAGGTTCCCGTGCCGACAGATGCTGCACGGGGGAATGAAGGAAGGTAGGCAAGCAGTTATTTATAGAGTGCACTGAGAAAATAGAATCCATGTGAAGTCATATCTGATTCAAAATACATAAGGGAAACATGGATCCTGCTGATCTCCTTTTGTCCTTGATAAAGCGTAACAAAGTGCATCAGGGAGGTTAAATAAAGATGCACAAGGTTAAACAAAGTATTGTGAAAATGTTGCAGTTTCAAAGCTAATTTCCTGCAATTCTACACATTTTGCCATGACTTATGCCATGTTCATATGGTATCTGGGTGAATTACAAAATCAATGGGGGCCCCCTGGTGGTCAGGGCCCCTGGGCACGTGCCCAGTGGGTCATTTACATTTACATTTACATTTTAGTCATTTAGCAGACGCTCTTATCCAGAGCGACTTACAGGAGCAATTAGGGTTAAGTGCCTTGCTTAAGGGCACATCGACAGATTTTTTTTCACCTAGTCAGCTCGGGGATTAGAACCAGCGACCTTTCGGTTACTGGCACAACGCTCTTACCCACTAAGCTACCTGCCGCCCCCATAGCCACGATTACCACAAGGTTTAGATAGCTGGCTAGACTAAAGGCTCTATTCAATCCGCATTGCGGAGGTTCAGCTTAAATTGAAATTTAATGGCAATGTTCTCGCTTTAGCTGAGACTGCATTTACGGTAAACGCTGCATATGTCGGCTCAATCGGAAATTGCCTTTACATTTCTATTGCGGAATCTGTAACGCTTCAGCTTTACAGATTGAATAGAGCCCCAATTTACTTAGCAATCAAAAAAAAATGTAGCTGACATTGAGTGACTGTCCTAACAAGAGGAAAACTGCTGATGCACTACCAAATTTAGAAATTGCACGTTGTGTATTATACTATTCTAACTCTCAGTAAGTTGACACACTGACTGAGTTCATAATAATAATAATAATAAAAAGTAGTTCAGACTTCGAGTAGAAGTAGTTGATTCGGCAAAATGATTTGAAAATACTCAATTACAAAGAAAATAAGTATTTAACATACAAAGACTTAAGTAAGCATGTATATGAACCCAGGTCTGGTGGGTTTGTGTGTGTGTTGCACAATGTCTAAACTGAACTCCACAGTGATCTCAAGCTGAACTGTCACTTATTGTGACCTGACAAGAGCTGGCCACCCTGACGAGAGCGGGTAACTCTGGGTAACTCCTAAATTCCTCATTCATGTGTGGTAATGTAGCCACTAGAACGACTGTGAAACTTTGTAAGCTGTTAATTACTGGATATTTAGTGGCGTTCTTCGGTGACAGCCCCTCCCTGCTGTGTGTCACTCATGCTGTCCTTGAGCCATACAGAAAGCAGTGGCGGCTGGTGTAGGGAGGAATGGGGATGGCATTTCTTCCTCCACCAGCCTCCTCTGACTGAAAGGCATGTGCCTGCCACTATGACAAACAGATGGATTGTGAAATATTGTTTTTTAATGGATTAAGGGAACATGCGCTCTCTCTTGGGAGTTGAGTTTGACACCCCTAGTTTAGAGAAAGTTGAGTAAAAAATACACAGTAGGATTTGTCAGCATATTTTATTATGTCAGTCAAGGAGAAATCATCTCAAACAAAATGACGGTAAACTCTGAATGTTGATGTGAGATTGTTTTTTCTCCCTCAGGCATAAATAGTTTGGAAGTTATAGAATATATTAAGTATATTTACCCAGGGAACTGTTTTCCTAGCTAGGAATGAATAGTATAAACTTTCAAAAGGGATGTACACTGCTTTTTGCAGGTTTATTTTAATATTCCTACTATACTGTATGTGTGCTTTGTGAAAGGGTGTCAAATTGTACACTTAGGCCTAGATTAAATCCTTATAGAGGAAGATCCGCACTATAGTTTACATTTACATTTTAGTCATTTAGCAGACGCTCTTATCCAGAGCAACTTACAGTTAGTTCATACATATTTTTTTTTTCATACTGGCCCCCCATGGGAATCGAACCCACAACCCTGGCGTTGCAAACGCCATGCTCTACCAACTGAGCTACATCCCAATAGTTCAATTGAAATTTAAAGGCAATGTTTCTGCGTTCGCGAATTCATGGTAAACACTGCATATGTTGGCGCAATAAGAAATTACCTTTCAATTACAATCGCGCTATTATGCGGATTTTCCTTGATACGGATTGAATCTAGCCCTTAATAGGTGTTAGGATTAATTAATTTTTTACGGCTTTTTAAATGATCTCAAGATGTTATTTGGTTGTGAATAATGATTGATTGAGGTTGATAATACACAAAACAATTATCTTCAAACAAACATGCCTTAACTTGAAAAAAAAACACCACGTCAACCAAAAATAATTAATAGATATATTCTGTATTCTGAAAACGTATATGCCCAGTATGTAATAGTAAGTCAAAACATCCAACCGTGCGTGTGAATCAGTCGGCCTCGACCTGTCATGCAAGTACAGTATTCGTCTATACAATCTACAGTATCTCAAATAGAATGCTAACACATTGTCGGATACCTTTTCCTTAGGAAAAAGAATAAGCAACTTTTACCATGCAAGGAGGTAACAGGTCATAACAGCCAATTCCTCTGTGAGGAAGCCTAAAAGTATACTTGAACTTATATCTGTGTGAGTGCAGAAGTTGTTTAGGCCTCATCGCACCAAGGCCTTCACAAGGTCTCTCCATTTCTTCCTGTCTTGGGCTATGTTAGATGCCTCTTTCCAGGTGAGCCCTAGTCTGGTTTGGAGTGCTCTATACAGAACACATCATTCAAATTATATACTCTATGGCTGACTCGAAGGTAGACATTTTATCTTTTCGAAATTCTTATGAAACTCATCTTGTGCTCATTAACCTGCTGTGGTGGAGCAGGTGAAGGTAAATTAACCTTTTGTTGTTAAGCAATATCGAGAGGCTTTATCTCGACTGAATATCTTAAGGGCACCCATTAATTCACAGTTGTGTATGGCTTCGTCCAAAAGGCACCCTATTCCCTATATAGTGTACGGCTTTGGACCAGGGTCTATAGGGGTCTGGTCAAAAGTAGTACACTATATAGAGAATAGGGTGCCATTTTGGACGCACACTATCACTAGCTTAATGCTTGTAGTACTGCTTGACAAATTAATGTGTAAATGGTAATCTTTTGGTTCAACAAGCAAATGCCCCTATGTGTAGTATAGAGATTTATTCATGATGTTCATAATTGGACACCTTAGGCTGCGTTTACACAGGCAGCCCAATTCAGATCTTTTGCCAATTATTTGCATATCTGATACCTATCTGATATTTTCCCTAATGTGTAAACAGCAAAATACCACATGGAATCCGATTTATACCACCTCTATATGTGGATATGAATCCTGATACAAACCTGATCCTCCATATGTGATCTCTGTCTGGACGCTCAGATCAGATTTCTTTGCTCTGAAGTGTTGTTTTTTTTACCATGATTTGCTGTTACCATGACAACCACCCCAAAATTTAAAGGAACAGTGACAGGAAATGAGCATTGCATATGTGTGCTACTTCAGATGCTACATCAGTGTGAGCAGAGAGAGGAAGAGGCAAAACGAGAGGTTTTACTCTCATCAAAATCTGTCCAAAATAAGCCCAAAGTGTTTCTATGGGCTTATTTTGGACCTAAGGTTGTCGCCTGCCTTCCCACCTTTGGGACAACGACTCCCATTGTTATGGCGGAGACATGAGCGTTATATACAGATCTCTGGTGTGAATGGGCAAATCTGATATGGCTCACATGTAAAACTGAGTGTGGACAAAAATATCAGATATAGAACGAAAATCAGATTTAGGTTCTTAAGGTGGCTGTGTAAACACAGCCATAGTATGGCTATGGTAAGCAGCCTTCAACCTTGTTAATAAAAAAAAATAGAAAGCATTTTTTTAAATAGACTGTTCATCAAATAGAAAACATTAACTGCTTTCTGGATTTTTTAATCTATTTTCTTGAAACTTTAATACGTTTTGGTTGCATTCTTTGATTACTTTTGTAAAGGTAGCCACTTCAGCAAAGTGTAACTTTGTTTCATTTAACTGAATTATACATTTATATATTCATGTTTTGTATTTGCTTAATTCCCCTTTTAGAGGACTTAATGACCACTGTTCCACGCTAACATTTGATAGAGGTGTTTCAGTCAAGAACATCTACCTATGTCACAATCACTTCTAACCTCGAACGTGATTTCAGCTTCAATAATACACATTTTCAGGTTGATCTTTCAATCGAAGAGAAAAACTACTCAAAATGATCTCAATCTAAAAATGACACACTTTAACAAATCCAAGATACCGCACAAAATGGCATGCGTTTGCATAGTAAAGCTGTAAATCGCTTGAACGTGGATTAACAAGTGATCCCAAATAAATAGGGGAAAACACGCCACACATTAAGAATCGCCAGAGGAGTCAAACACTCAAAAGTGCATGTCCGTAGTGTTGCACAATGTACTACAGTACCTATAATGCTCTGTGTAACATATCCAGTTTTGTCTTTGTAAAGATTGTTCAGTTCCCTGTCCAGTTTTTAGTTCCCCATGATGGTGGTTGGGGTTGAGTTGTTGGGGCCCAATGTGGAGCCAAGCATACCCTTTTCACACTATCGTGCCAGCGCAGACCCTTGTGTGGAAAGGGTACTAGTCCGTCAGGTCCAAGCACCAGGACTGCTCTGTGCACTGAGTCTGAACTCCCAGGCTGGATCTCCTGGACCTGGTCCCGGGGCTCTCGCTGTCCCTGCTCTCCATGGAGCCCCCGTTCCCCAGCAGGCACTCCAGACTGGTGTGTCCCACCGCTGCCGAGTCTCCCAGGGGGATGTGGGGAGGAGCGCAGTTGTCCTGCCTAGGAGGAGACCCTGAGTCTTGGGAGCAGACGGACGATGGCCTGGGGAAGGAGGGGGGAGTTCCAGGGCTGGAGTGGACGGACAGACTGTGCAGGTCCTCGTCCAGGAGGCTGGATGTGGATGTGTATTGCTGGGGGAAGTCGTGGCTTGGACCCCCGTCGGGCCCCAGGACTGCAGAAGGTTCCCCCAGGGTAGGCCTTGCCGGGTGTAGGAGGGGTTCTGAGGCTAGGTAGATGTGCGGGTAGGTGCTGGGGGAGGCATCCAGGAGGCTGTGAGTAGACGTGGGAGCACTAGACAGCAGACAGCTGTACAAACCGCTGCTAGGCGGCTGCAGACACAAGCTGGGTTGGGACTGGCTAATGCTAACTGGGCTAGTGCCAAGGCCAGGGCGACTGTCACCAAAGTCCTCATGCCCAGCAGAGAGAGCTGTGCCTGGGCTACCACCACTCTGTAAGGTTGGGCTAATGCTAAGCAAGGAAGGGCCAGTCCAGGGATGGGGTGTGGTGCAACCAGAGCCCTGGCAGGGTCCTGGCACAGCTGCCGAGTCTGTCACATGGGATTGGTAGAAGCTAGGGGGCCTTGGGCTGGAAGCCTGAGGTTGGATCTGGTAGTGGCCCTCTGGCTGTGCCCCCACAGTGGCCCTAGCCTGGCAGCTCCCACCTGGAGCCCCACTGTAGCCCCAGCAAGGGTGGAGTGTGTCCGTGTGTCCCCCCTCCAGGCTCCCAGGGTCCTGATGGAGGTGCAGGCTGCTGGGGGCCAGGTTGTAGGCTGTGCCAGTGCTGGCGGTGTGGTTGGGGTTGGAGACCATTTGGACAGCGTAGGGGTAGGAGGAGGACAGGGAGGCTGTGTAGTGGTGCACAGCCACCTGGGCCTGAAGAAGGTGCATCATGTGATGGAGGTCCTTGGTCAGCTGAGACACTTCCTTGTTCAAGTTGCCCATCTAGGAAGAGATAACATATACTCGGGTTAGATTGGGGAGGGGAGAGTGACAACATATGAATGTATTCAGACTTTAGATCTGCACGTTAAAGTCGAATATTCATGCAAGTCTCCCATTGACATCACTGAATGATTTACGCGAAAGTCATAGTTTAGTGTGAGGATCTCAAGTCTGAATATCTCCCAATATTAAATAGTTACAAATGTAAATATATATATGTCTGAAATGAACATGGCACAGTAGCCACTTTTAATAACACTACCACCACTTACAAAATAGCCCAACCAAACAACAACGATTTTTATTCTCTCAAGCATTTCTTTGCAACTAATTTCCAGGCCTCACAGCGTGACTCTTACTTCTCTAAAGCTTGCACAAAGTACATCTACCCAACACTGACTAGCTACTGTTCTCTGTGACTAAGAAATGACCCGTTTTCACATGCGTCCCAAAAACCCCACGAGAGAGGGAGGGAGAGACTGTAACGACGCAAAAAGGGAGGAAAGTGGAAGGGAACATGGGAGGAGGAGGAGGAGGAGGAGGAGGAATAGAAGGAATCTGAGGAGAATGTTAGGGCGGGTTGGGTTGTCATCATCAGGTATTTTGGTATTGTTGAGTCAGCGCTTGCAGGTTTTTCTCTGCAATGCAGAAGCACCCTGCTGATTAATTAATACCCACTTCAGACAAGGCCTACCTAGAACCATCTGTTTACTCTAGCCCCACCTGCCATACATTTGCATCCACATTAGGGATGGAAGAAAACATTGTGCTACATAAGGTAGAAATAGAATAGAATGTAACAGAATAAAGTAGATTTGAGTAGAATAGAATTTGATAGAATAGAACAGGAATATAATAAAATACAATAGAGTTGGAATAGAATAGAAATCCAGAGATTGTGGTGGATGCCACCATCCATTTATCAATATGCATTTATTAAGGGTTAATACCTTTTCTTCAGAGAGAATCTATGAGCCTAGTAAACACGTTTGTTCAATCACAAGTAGGTTAACTGTTAAAGCTATGTATTGTACTTTCTGACGTTCTTTGTAGTATCACCAAGTGGTTTACATGTAATCCAAGATGTGGTGTTGAATGTGCAAATATGCAAATTCCTACTGCTTGAGATATTTTCACTAATTGCAGTATTGCATCATCAATTGTTGTTAGTGTTTGATTCAACATTTACTTTATTGTGTACAATGTGTAAATTATACACATTGTACACATGCATATTCATGCACTTATTATACATATTGTGTCGGTATACCCATTCCAGGTTTCTGTCTAAAAAGGCTTCATGTTAAAGGGGCCAACTGCAGTGTAAGTGAATGATGAAACATAAAGGGAATATGTAGAGTTGTTGCACACTTGTAAGGGTCCTTATAAGGGCATACATAAGATTATGTATATGTTAAACTATTAAGAAGTCTGGTAGAGGAGCTAGGCAGATGGACGTATGCAAATCAAATAAGTGCTAAAATTATGGGTTCAAATCCTGCCATGCCCTTCAGCAATGGAACTTGGCAATAATGCCTTGTACAGAATACGGAAACTATGAAAGCGCTTTTAGACAGAAGTGTCTGCTCAGCAAGAAACATAGGAGTAGTCTCAGCAAGAAAGTAGTAGTAGTCTCAACAAGAAACATAGGAGTAGTCTCAGCAAGAAAGTAGTAGTAGTCTCAACAAGAAACATAGGAGTAGTCTCAGCAAGAAAGTAGTAGTAGTCTCAGCAAGAAACATAGGAGTAGTCTCAGCAAGAAAGTAGTAGTAGTCTCAACAAGAAACATAGGAGTAGTCTCAGCAAGAAAGTAGTAGTAGTCTCAACAAGAAACATAGGAGTAGTCTCAGCAAGAAAGTAGTAGTAGTCTCAACAAGAAACATAGGAGTAGTGTTATCTTTCTCACTCAGCAGATAGGCTGCACTGAGGCTTACTCTACTGTAATGTACTGTACCTTCTGGTTGAGCTGACTGATACTCTGTCTAACCTCCTCCGACTCCAGGAGCAGAGTGGCGTTCACCTGCCTCATATCTGTGGAGGAAGAAACAGAAGAAGACAAATGGTCTAAGGCACTGCATCGCAGTGCTAGCTGTGCCACTAGAGATCCTGGTTCGAATCCAGGCTCTGTCGTAGCCGGCCGTGACCGGGAGACCCATGGGGCGGCGCACAATTGGCCCAGCGTCGTCCAGGGTAGGGGAGGGAATGGCCGGCAGGGTTGTGGGTTTGTTTCCCACGGGGGGCCAGTATGAAAAAAATTAAATAATGTATGCACTCACTAACTGTAAGTCGCTCTGGATAAGAGCGTCTGCTAAATGACTAAAATGTAAATGTAAAAATGTAAAATACCTCTTAGGCTCATAAAACAATGAATAGTGATTGGTTAATTGGTTGTTTGGTGTGATTGATTGGTTGATTGGCTGTGTGTGATTGATTGATCAACAATACAATACTGGAGTGTGCTAGCGAATATAATTAAAAGTTTACACTTCATCTATGGCATTGATACTTATATGTTTCTGCTTTCATCCACGTCTGGTGTTAGCTAGTTACTGGCTAGCTTTAGTATCTCAAAAGGCTATTTTACATGGGAATCAGAATGACTGTTCGGGACCTTTAAGTCAAAACTGTAACTTGGCCACTCAGGAACATTCACTGTCTTCTTGGTAAGCAACTCCAGTGTGGATTTGGCCTTGTGTTGTATGGTTATTGTCCTGCTGAAAGGTGAATTCCTCTCCCAGTCTCTGGTGTAAAGCAGACTGAAGGAGGTTTTCCTCTAGGATTTTGTGCCTTGTTGCATACAAGATGCACGTTTTGGAATATTATTTATTCTGTATATTTGTATTCTTCTTTTCACTCTGTTATTTAGGTCATTATTGTGGAGTGACTACAATGTTGTTGATCCATCCTTAGTTTTCTACCATCACAGGCATTGAACTCTGTAGCTGTTTTAAAACCACCAATGCTAACATCTCTGAGCAGTTTCATTCCTGCAGCTCAGTTCAGAAGGATGACTGTGTCTTTGTGTCTGGGTGGTTTCATATATAATCCACAGCATAATTATTAACTTGACCATGCTTAAAATAGATATTCAATGTCTGATTTGTTATTGTTACCCATCTACCAATCACTGCCCTTCTTTATGATGCTTTCAAAAAGCTTCCTGGTCTTTGTAGTTGAATCTGTGCTTGAAATTCAATACTTGACTGAGAGACCTTACATATGTTGTATGTATGGGGTACAGAGGAAGGGTTAGTCATTAAAGAATCATGTCAACCACTATTATTTCACACAAAGTGAGTCCATGTAACTTATTATGTGATTTGTTAAGCCACATTTTACTCCTGAACTAATTTAGGCTTGCCTAAACAAAGGGGCTGAATACTTATGCAACAACTAGATTTTAGTTATGGATTTTTGATTTATAAAAAATATAATCTTTCACTTTGACATTAGAGTATTTTGTGTAGATTGTTGACAAAAAATGACAATTAAATCAATTTTAATTCCACTTTGTAACACAATAAAATGCAAGTTGAAAACATTGTATGTTAAAAGCACATTTTCGCTTAAGTTTTTGCAAGTTGGAGCTAAGTTTGGGCCAACTAATAATTTTATGTTCAGTAACACTTGAACCTAAAAATGTAGTAAACAAAAAAATGGCTGTGGAACCAGTTACTTAATAATAATTAGTTGAAACAACTAGATATTGTTTTACAGTGTGGATTAACTGAATGTTTAATTTAAGAAACAAAAGATCCTCTGAAGACCCCTGAGATGTCATTTCATTTCTCTAATATATATTCTGCATATGGGACAGCATGATGTCTGCCCCGGTTTGAACCCCACGTTCACCTTCAAGCCATCTGGCGCCCTGGTGAGACTCCCGCAGCGGGTGCGGTCAGGGTGCGGTCAACGCGGGGTTTAAGACGGTTTAGCGTTACCTTCGCTGGGACGTCCCGTGGTGCTGGCCTTGGGCCCACTGTGTTCCATGTTGAAGAGGAACGTGCGCCCATTGTCCTCGATGCCGTCGACAACCCTGGCAGGGAGAGACGGGGGGGGGGGGGGGGGGGGGGGGACAGTAACAGTAGAGCCCCTTTCAATTATCAAATTATCATCCATCGCCACACGACCCAAGGAGCCGCAATGGGAGCCCCACTGGCAGCCGCCCATGCGGAATTAACCTGAGTAGAGCTGCAACTGTCTGGGCCGGAGGACATCGGAGCCCTATGGGCCACATTACAGTATTGCCTTCATGTGGGGCTCACTAGACACCAGCCGATACATTATGGATATGGATGGATGGATGGTGCATGGTAGGGTTTGTATAAGGTGAGATAATCTTATTGCTTTACTAAAGTACTTTGAGATTTGGTGAGATATGCGATTAAATTAGCATTAAATGCTATTGGAGAAGTTTGTAAATGCAATCCCATTTCATTACACTGTGTCATTACACTACTTAATACACTTTGCCAATACTGTACACCACTTAATATTACCTAGTGCACAAGTTTGGATATTGGGACAGAGATAAAGTGAAAGTCCAACAAAACTTGGGCTTCTGTGTGTGGTTTACCTTGGACTGAGGTCCGGCAGTGCAAAACAGCTGACAGTGGGAATCAGCAGCTTGGAGGGCTTGCGTCCCTGACTCCCTGTCCCCAACTCCCCTGAGGTAGGGGGACTGGCAGGGGCTGCCACTGGGACACTGTGCTCCTTTTTCGGCAGCGGCTGTGGGGAAGACAGGCTGTGGCCCCGGGGTAGGCCTCCCCGGCTCAGGTTGGGCGAACGGCAGCGGCGCAGGGCATTGAACTGCCTCAGCTCGTCACCCAGCAGGTTGCCCAGGGAGGTGCGCCGCACCGGGCTGCTCAGGCTGGGCAGGAGGAGGTTTGCGCGGCGGGTGCGGGACGCTGGTGATAGGTGGTAGTACTCATCTGAATCGTCGTGGAGATCTCCTTTTGTCTCAATGATGGATGGGAGCTTGTGCTCTGTGGAACCTCGGGGGTTCTGGGTGGCAGAAAAAAGTATGAATTTCTCGTATTTATTTCACCCTTAGTTTAGCAGGGTCGCGTTCATTAGGATACAAAATGGAAAATGCTTTAAAACAGCGAAGGGGGGGAAACAAGAGTGTTTCTTATTGGATATGTCTAGGAAGTCCCTTCGCTGTTTTAGTCCATTTTCTTTCATTTTGCACCTAATGAACATGCTGAGAACACTTTCTCATTTACATAGGGAAGAGTTGCAGAGAGGGATGAGTGGGATTGAGTAAATGAATTGGAAGCTGGGGATTATATGATATGATTCAAGTTCTTTATATTGAATTCATATGTATTTTTATCAAGCTATGGGTGGATAGGAGAAATTGAGAGGTTGATGAATGCTGTTGCCAAATCTTTCTTTGGAAACAAAACATGCACTGACACTGAAATAGAATTCAGATGGGCAAGCGAGGTGTCAAAAAAACATTAGCCAAAACCTACATTAGCTCATAAGGCTTATTATTAACAGAGATATTGACCCAGTTAGCGATCTGACTCCAGGGAGTGAACCATTTCTCTGCTCCAAATGAGTTCCAACCTTTAGGGGAAGTCCTGGGTCTTATTCATTAGGGCATAATGGGACCCCTACGGAGAAGTTATAGCAATATGACCCAGAATTTTTTTGGGCAAATCCAAACACACTTCAGAAAACGTGCATTACAATTCTGCCCACAAATGCAATTCTATTACAATCATCAAGTCATGGCAGAAACCCATCTTACACAGATAGTGGGGTAAACTACTAAGGGTGCATTTGAAATGGCAAGTGACAATGGCATGTGGGAAACTTTGTCTAGTGGAATGGGGAAAATAATGGTCAGTTAGACTACATGGAAGGAATATTATTGAAGCTGCAAGGACGGCACTCACGTGTGGAAGCCTGGGCGACCTTGAGAACCTTGTCAGGCCCTGTGAAAAGAGTAATACAACAGGAACGATTGTAAATAAGGAAGACCATTTTTTTTCTTCATAGAACGACATTTTTAGCGATTTGCACACACACACTTTAATACATCCTTTATGCATTCAGGTAGTCCACTTTTTTGAATCCTCCTTTCGAGGATATATTATGTCATATAAAATCACAAAAACCTGTTTCCTAAGCACCCATGTTCTTTCTTTGGTCATTATCTAAATGTGCGAGGGATGGCATCTTTGCCACGCAGACTGAATCTGATAATTGGTCCTGCATTGGATGGCGGCTGGATTCCAGAGAGAGTTCTTCTCTCTGCTGCCATAGATGGAAATTGCCAGCAATGTATCGCAATTAGAGGCTGCAACTATGACACTTTACACCGTGAAACTTTAACTGTGTTGAAAACTATCTTCACATATTCTGAATACATGTTTTCTTTCTGACAATATGGTTTCTTGTATGTACAATATATACCAGCATTAGCCTTGCTTTCTCTTTGATCATAACACACAGCAACGGGAGCTCAGGATAGTGACAGTAAGCTAAGCCTCCTTAGAGAAAATATAGTAAATGGCATATCCATCTTTGAAGCACCGTTGTGAGTAACTCCCTTACCGTCAATAAAAAGAAATTAAATATCCCCATTTTGATTAAACTGGCTTCTTTTCTTTGATTTTGTTCAGTGACAACATTGAGTCTTTTGGTAACAATATTGAACAATGTACAGTGCCTTCGGAAAGTATTCAGACCCCTTGACTTTTCCCACATTTTTGTAGGTTACAGCCTTATTCTAAAATTGATTAAAGTGTTTTGTCCCTCATCAATCTACACACAATACCCCATAATGACAAAGCAAAAACAGGATTCTTTAAATTTTAGCTAATTTATAAAAAATAAAAAACTGAAATATAACATTTACATACGTATTAGACCCTTTAGACAGTACTTTGTTGAAGCACCTTTGGCAGCAATTACAGCCTCAAGTCTTCTTGGGTATGACACTACAAGCTTGGCACACGTGTATTTGGGGAGTTTCTCCCATTCTTCTCTGCAGATCCTCTCAAGCTCTGTCAGGTTGGATGGGGAGCGTTGCTGCACAGCTATTTTCAGGTCTCTCCAGAGATGTTCGATCAGGTTCAAGTTCAGGCTCTGGCTAAGCCACTCAAGGACATTCAGAGACTTGTCCCGAAGCCACTCCTGCGTTGTCTTGGCTGTGTGCTTAGGGTCGTTGTCCTGTTGGAAGGTGAACCTTCGCCCCAGTCTGAGGTCTTGAGCGCTCTGGAGCAGGTTTTCATCAAGGATCTCTCTGTACTTTGCTCTGTCCATCTTTGCCTCCATCCTGCCGCTGAAAAACATCCCCACAGTATGATGCTGCCACCACCATGCTTCACCGTAGGGATGGTGCCAGGTTCCCTCCAGAAGTGACGCTTGGCATTCAGTCCAAAGAGTTCAATCTTGGTTTCATCAGACCAGAGAATCTTGTTTCTCATGGTCTGAGAGTCTTTAGGTGCCTTTTGCCAAACTCCAAGTGGGCTGTCATGTGCCTTTTACTGAGGAGTGGCTTCCGTCTGGCCACTCTACCATAAAGGCCTGATTGGTGGAGTGCTGCAGAGATGGTTGTCCTTCTGGAAGGTTCTCCCATCTCCACAGAGGAACTCTGGAGCTCTGTCAGAGTGACCATTGGGTTCTTGGTCACCTCCCTGACCAAGGCCCTTCTCCCCCGATTGCTCAGTTTGGTCGGGCGGCCAGCTCTAGGAAGAGTCTTGGTGGTTCCAAACTTCTTCCATTTAAGAATGATGGAGGCCACTGTGTTCTTGGGGACCTTCAATGCTGCAGACATTTTTTGGTACCCTTCCCCAGATCTTTGCCTCGACACAATCCTGTCTCAGAGCTCTACAGACAATTCCTTCGACCTCATGGCTTGGGTTTTGCTCTGACATGCACTGTCAATAGTGGGACCTGATATAGACAGGTGTGTTCCTTTCCAAATCATGTCCAATCAATTTAATTTACCACAGGTGGACTCCAATCAAGTTGTAGAAACATCTCAAGGATGATCGACGGAAACAGGATGTACCTGAGCTCAATTTCGAGTCTCATAGCAAACGGTCTGAATACTTATGTACATTTGATATTTCAGTTTTTTAATTTTAATACATTTGCAAAGATTTCTGAAAACCTGTTTTTGCTTTGTCATTATGGGGTATTGTGTGTAGATCGATGAGGATATTAAAAAAAAATCAATTTTAGAATAAAAATGTAATACATTTGTCACATGCGCCGAATACAACTGTCACGATCGTCCTGAGAAGAAGCGGGCCAAAGCGTGATATGCGTACATAATATTTATTGAATGTACAAAACAACAAACGATACGAAACGTGAAGTCCTACGGTTACACAAACCAAACGGAACAAGATACCACACCAAAACAATGCCAAACGGCTACCTAAGTATGGCTCTCAATCAGAGACAACGAGCTACAGCCGTCTCTGATTGGGAACCACCCTGGCCAACATAGAAATACCAAACTAGAACACAACATAGAAACTCACACCCTGGCTCAACATACAAGAGTCCCCAGAGCCAGGGCGTGACAGTACCCCCCCCACAAAGGCGCGGACTCCGACCGCGCCAACCAAACACAACAGGGGAGGGGCCGGGTGGGCACTCCGCCTCGGCGGCGGATCCGGCTCCGGGCATGACCCCCACTCCCTCTCTAACCCCCCAAAGTGCCCCTGGTCCGGTCTGGCCCTGCTGGCCGGAGCTGGACTGAACACTGGTGGAGCGGATTGCTCTAGCTCCGGAGTGGAGCAGCTGACCGGTGCCGGACCAGGCACCGGTGGAACAGGCACGGGCCGGGCCGGCCTGGCGACGCGCACCATAGGCTTGATGTGGGGATCAGGAACGGGCCGGACCGTACTGGGGACACACACCACTGGCCCTACGCGGGGATCAGGAACGGGCAGGACCGGACTGGCAACACACCCCAGTACCTCTCGCCGTGCCTCTACATTCTCCTTCCCCCTGGTGACCAGTGACTCCCGTAACCTGGCGGCCTCCCTTGCCAACCCGCTGAACCACTCTATCCCGACCTCCTGCTGCCCCGTCGTCCACGGCGTGAGCCCCCCCCCTAAAAATATTCTGGGCGTCTCTCCTCCCCGTGGGCCAGGCCTCCATGGCTCTCGCCAGACTCTCGCTCCTCTGCTCCCAAGTCCAGCCTCTCTCCTCCTCACGCTGCTTGACCCAGTCGAGGTGGTATCTTCTGTCACGATCATCCTGAGAAGAAGCGGGCCAAGGCGCAGCGTGATATGCGTACATAATATTTATTGAATGTACAAAACAACAAACGATACGAAACGTGAAGTCCTACGGTTACACAAACCAAACGGAACAAGATACCACACCAAAACAATGCCAAACGGCTACCTAAGTATGGCTCCCAATCAGAGTCAACGATCTGATTGGGTACCACCCTGGCCAACATAGAAATACCAAACTAGAACACAACATAGAAACTCACACCCTGGCTCAACATACAAGAGTCCCCAGAGCCAGGGCGTGACAACAACATGTGTAAACCTTACTGTGAAATGCTTACTTACAAGCCCTTAACCAACAATGCAGTTTAAAGAAAAATAAGTGTTAAGTAAAAAATAGATAAAATAAAAATAATTAAAGAGCAGCAGTAAAATAACAGTAGCGAGACTTTATACAGGGGGTACCGGTACAGAGTCAATGTGCGGGGGCACAGGTTAGTTGAGGTAATTGAGGTAGTATGTACATGTAGGTAGAGTGACTATGCATAGATAATAAACAGAGAGTAGCAGCAGCGTAAAAGAGGGGGTGGGGGGTGGGGGGGGCATAGACTTGGCACTCCGGTACCGCTTGCCGTGCGGTAGCAGAGAGAACAGTCTATGACTAGGGTGGCTGGAGTCTTTGACACCGCCTGGTATAGAGGTCCTGGATGGCAGGAAGCTTGGCCCCAGTGATGTACTGGGCCGTACGCACTACCCTCTGTAGTGCCTTGCGGTCGAAGGCCGAGCAGTTGCCATACCAGGCAGTGATGCAACCAGTCAGGATGCTCTCGATGGTGCAGCTGTATAACTTTTTGAGGATCTGAGGACCCATGCCAAATCTTTTCAGTCTCCTGAGGGGGAATAGGCTTTGTCGTGCCCTCTTCACGACTGTCTTGGTGTGTTTGGACCATGATAGTTTGTTGGTGATGTGGAAACCAAGGAACTTGAAGCTCTCAACCTGCTCCACTACAGCCCCGTCGATGAGAATGGGGGCGTGCTCGGTCCTCTTTTTCCTGTAGTACACAATCATCTCCTTTGTCTTGATCACGTTGAGGGAGAGGTTGTTATCCTGGCACCACACGGCCAGGTCTCTGACATCCTCCCTATAGGCTGTCTCATTGTTGTCGGTGATCAGGCCTACCACTGTTGTGTCATCGGCAAACTTAATGATGGTGTTGGAGTCGTGCCTGGCCATGCAGTCGTGGGTGAACAGGGAGTACAGGAGGGGACTGAGCACACAACCCTGAGGGGCCCCAGTGTTGAGGATCAGCAGATGTGTTGTTACCTACCCTTACCACCTGGGAGCGGCCCGTCAGGAAGTCCAGGATCCAGTTCCAGAGGGAGGTGTTTAGTCCCAGGGTCCTTAGCTTAGTGATGAGCTTTGAGGGCACTCTGGTGTTGAACGCTGAGCTGTAGTCAATAAATAGCATTCTCACGTAGGTGTTAATTTTGTCCAGGTGGGAAAGGGCAGTGTGGAGTGCAGTAGAGATTGCATCACCTGTGGATCTGTTGGGGCAGTATGCAAATTGGAGTGGGTCTATGGTTTCTGGGATAATGGTATTGATGTGAGCCATGACCAGCCTTTCAAAGGACTTCATGGCTACAGATGTCAGTGCTACGGGTCGGTAGTCATTTAGGCAGGTTACATTAGTGTTCTTGGGCACAGGGACTATGGTGGTCTGCTTGAAACATGTTGGTACTACAGACTCAGTCAGGGACAGGTTGAAAATGTCAGTGAAGACACTTGCCAGTTGGTCAGCACATGCTCGGAGTACATATCCTGGTAATCCGTCTGGCCCTGCGGCCTTGTGAATGTTGACCTGTTTAAAGGTCTTACTCACATCGGCTACGGAGAGCATGATCACACAGTCGTCCGGAACAGCTGATGCTCTCATGCACGCTTCAGTGTTGCTTGCCTCAAAGCGAGCATAGAAGTAATTTTCCTCTTCTGGTAGGCTTGTGTCACTGGGCAGCAGGCTGTGCTTCCCTTTGTAGTCTGTAATAGTTTGCAAGCCCTGCCACATCCGACGAGCGTCGGAGCCGGTGTAGTACGATTCAATCTTAGTCCTGTATTGACGCTTTGCCTGTTTGATGGTTCGTCAGAGGGCATAGCGGGATTTCTTATAAGCGTCCGGGTTAGAGTCCCACTCCTTGAAAGCGGCAGCTCTACCCTTTAGCTCAGTGTGGATATTGCCTGTAATCCATGGCTTCTGGTTGGGGTATGTACGTACGGTCACTGTGGGGACGACGTCATCGATGCACTTTTTGATGAAGCCAGTGACTGATGTGGTGTACTCCTCAATGCCATCGCAAGAATCCTGGAACATATTCCAGTCTGTGCTAGCAAAACAGTCTTGTAGCTTAGCATCTGCGTTATCTGACCACTTCTTTATTGACCGAGTCACTGGTGCTTCCTGCTTTAGTTTTTTATTGTAAGCAGGAATCAGGAGGATAGAGTTATGGTCAGATTTGCCAAATGGAGGGCAAGGGAGAGCTTTGTACGCGTCTCTGTGTGTGGGAGTAAAGGTGATCTACAGTTTTTTTCCCTCTAGTTGCACATTTAATATGCTGGTAGAAATGAGTTAAAAAGGATTTAAGTTTCCCTCCATTAAAGTCCCCGGCCACTAGGAGCGCCACCTCTGGATGAGCGTTTTCCTGTTTGCTTATGGCCATACAGCTCATTGAGTGTGGTCTTAGTGCCAGCATCGGTTTGTTGTGGTAAATAGACAGCTACGAAAACTATAGATGAAAACTCTCTTGGTAAATTGTGTGGTCTACAGCTTATCATGAGATACTCTACCTCAGGTGAGCAAAACCTAGAGACTTCCTTAATATTAGATTTCGTGCACCAGCTGTTGTTTACAAATATACACATGCCGCCACCCCTTGTCTTACCGGAGGCAGCTGTTCTATCTTGCCGATGCTGCGTATATCCCGCCAGCTGTATGTTATCCATGTCGTCGTTCAACCACGATTCGGTGAAACATAAGATATTACAGTTTTTAATGTCCCGTTGGTGGGATATCCGTGATCGTAGTTTGTCTATTTTGTTATCCAATGATTGTACGTTGAAAAAATAAAATAATAATAATAATCTTCGTCCAGTACGAGGTGAGTAATCATTGTCCTGATATCCAGAATCTATTTTCGGTCATACGAGACGGTGGCAGAAACATTATGTACAAAATAAGTTACAAATAACGTGAGAAAACACACACAATAGCACAATTGGTTAAGAGCCCGTAAAATGGCAGCCATCTCCTCAGGCGTCATTCTTTCCCAATAAGACTGTAACATAACAAAATGTGGAAAAAGTCAACGGGGTCTGAATACTTTCCGAAGGCACTGTATATAATATAGGGGAGCTATCACTAGAAAAAAAAGGGCTCATCTTTCACATTGGAGGAAAAGTTTTCCAAAGGGAGACAGCCTCCCTGACGCTAATGGGAATGTCATTACTATCAATTAATGGGAAACTAATGCATTTCAAGTCCTGCCAGTGGCCCACATAGCAAATAGATTTAGAGAGAGTTCAATAAAATATTGTTATCTCTTAACTCAAAAGAGACTGTGGTGACTCTCTGTAGGCTGTGATGTGTGTGTGTCTGCGCATGCCAAAAAAAAGTGTGCTATGAGAAAGTGATAGTGGCTATTGTCTGTGACTGTTTGTGTGTGTGGACAGTAGAGAGGGGCCTGGCTAACAGTGTGGAAGTTAAGGATCTATAAAATAGTGTTTTATAACCGCTTCTGAGTACATTATGGACTCTCATAGTCAGTGTAGTACTATTTTAAGGCATTATAAAGGACATTATAATAAGCATTATACCCTTGGCTAAAGTGTTACCCAGATTTTCAGCACTGAGTTCTCCATCAGTCTGTGCAAGGTTGGAGCCTGCACCCCTGGCCTCGCGCCAGAGCCCACTTCGAGCAGATGGTGAGAGGGAACTAGAGCATTGCTCAGACCCAAAACCTGATTACAAACCCCTTTGCGGGCCTGCAATTCAACGCACAGTGTTGGAGACAGACAGTGCAAGGCCACCAAATGAATGAGAAACAAATATAATTTCATTTAAACCAAATGCCTTCATTTCATTTCTTCTTGTGCGCCACGGTCAAATCGCTCCCCCTCTGAAAACACATAAAGAATAAACTTGAATCCAAACCGAACGCTTGAACAAATGTAATATCAACGTCACGCAAATCTCGTTTCCAAATTACTTTTTTTTGTTTATTATTTTTCCCCCTTTTTCTCCCCAATTTCGTGGTATCCAATTGGTGGTTACAGTCTTGTCCCATCGTGCACAACCCAACCTAGCCGCACTGCTTCTTGACACAGTGCCCGGAAGCCAGCCGCACCAATGTGCCGGAGGAAACACCGTACTCCTGGCGACTGAGTCAGCGTGAACTGCGCCCGGCCCGCCACAGGAGTCGCTAGTGCGCGATGGGACAAGGACATCCCTGCCGGCCAAACCCTCCCCTACCCTGGACGGCGCTTGGCCAATTGTACGCCGCCCCAATGGGTCACCCGGTCGCGGCCGGCTACGACAGAGCCTCAAATCCCGTTTCCGAAGACATGAAAGGAAATTAGATGAAATGCAAGCAACGTGACGAAAAAAATGCTCAAATAATCTGAAAGATGACAAGGCGGCGATATATTGACTTTGTAAACATTAAACGCCATTGACTGATTAAAGTTTAGCTAGTAGCTATTTCTTCACATCTGTCATTTGATTCGCTCTGTTGTCAAACCACAAGGGGTTTACAAAACTCCACTCCATTCTATTGTTTGGAAGAGATTGAGGGGAGTCTGTGAGCTGATGCCACCATAAGGACTACATACCACATTCATAACTCATCCATACTGCATTTATGTAGTACATGCACATTTAGTAAATACTTATGTCAACAACTGCAAGAAATACCAAAAATATAAAGCAATTATGAAATTCTTATAAATAGCATATGAAGGTGGTATGTATGGGTTATGAATGTGTTATGAAGTCCTTATGTAGGTATCCTTCAAGTAAAGTAATACCAGCCTTTCCTCTGTTTACTGTGGTAAGACAATAATCCAAAGTAATCACACACTAAATAAATAGAAAATTGCTTTGTGTGAATTAAGCAACTTTCACTTGTTCTGGGGTAATGATCACTGTAGAACATGCCCTTAGGCACAGATCTAGGATCAGCTTCTCTCCCCAGCCTTATCCATTAGGGGCGAAAACCACAAATCCGATGTTAGATTAGCATCTAGGGACAAGGATATGCGTGAAAGTAGCACTGACAAATAGAATTGCCATGACAATAAAATCACTGTCGGCTAGAGTTTGATTGGTCAAGAGAGGATTGGTCAATTGTGCAGATGGAATGTCAAGGAGAGTGACAATAACAGAGGCATTTTAGTGTAAAAACAGCCTATGTTATGGTTTGCTTTATTCACCTCTAAAAATGTTGTAAAAGGGATTTAAAGGAGCATACTATCAACTTTTTTCATTCAAATGTTTTTAGAGTTTTAGTAGAGGTTGCAGTGGAGGTGTGTGTGTGTGTCTCACCTCTGCCTCGCTGCCCTCTCTCAGGTTGTATGTGAGGTTGTGGAGGATATCTGCGGTAAACAGGCTGGCGTACTCCGGGTAGAACTCCAGCACCTCCCTTAGAGCCCGCATACTGATGTACTGCAGGTCGCAGTAGGTCAGCGCCTTCACGTCCGCATTAGTCTTGATAACGTGTTCCGTCCCCGGCAGGTCAGAGCCAATCAGATCCCCCTTCCCTGTAACCAACCAGTCAGCAACATACAGTACGGTGTTGGTGCTGCTGAGGAATCATTGGCCCTGTCCAGAAAACACCCTAGCCTCTACCCCATAGGTACTTATGGAAATCTCCTCTAGTACCCCCAGCCAGTTCTACTTTTTTGAACAAATCCACTACTAGCACACCTTATTCAACTAATAAAGGGCTTGATGAGCAGTTGACCAGTCAAATCAGCTGTGCTTATAGAAGAATAGATCAAATGAGTGGATCTGGGTACTCGAGGAGAGGTTAAGGAAACTCTGGTATAAGCAATGTGGTGAAAGTCCAATCAAGCCAATCAAATGTTTATCATATCCCATCTCCACTGGTCTCTCTTCAGAGTAGGGTGAAGTTGCCCCTAGACACTGAGCATTTTCCCCACTAACGGTTAAGGTTTGAATTGGGGGAGGGGAAGCTGATCCTAGATCTGTACCTAAGGGGAACTTCACCCCGGAGCTCTCTCTTCAATCCCACAGATGACCTTTACAGATGACAATGACCTTTGACCCCTATACTAACCTAGGATGGCCAGCACCATGCTGTCCTTGAGCACCTCCAGGGAACCCGAGCAGACAAAGTAGTTAGCGTGGAGCGCGTCGCCCTGCCGGATCAGGTACTCGCCAGGGGCGCAGAACGAGGTCTTAATGTGGAGGGAGAGCGAACGCAGACAGCCGCGGCTGGCCCCCTCGAACACAGGCAGCTGCAGGATGTCCTTGTTCAGGTGCATGGCGATGTCGGCCCGCAGCTCGTCTGGGAAGTCGTGCAAGAGCTGGAACGGAGAGAAAGAGGACGAGAGAGAGATAGAAGGAGAGAGAAGGGGGAGTGAGGGAGAGAGAGGGAGGGAGAGAGAGAGAGAGGGAAAGGCAGAGGGAAAGAGAGAGAGAGAGCACTTGACCAATGTAAAAAGGGCCTTGTCAACTTGTCAGTACGGCTACCATATAGTGTGTTGTAGTAGAGTAGGGGCGGGAGGGCACACACTTAATGTTGTAAAATGTATTTTATAATGTACAGTCGTGGTCAAATGTTTTGAGAATTACACAAGTATTGGTCTTCACAAAGTTCACTGCTTCAGTGTTATGAGATATTTTTGTCAGATGTTACTATGGTATACTGAAGTATAATTACAAGCATTCCATAAGTGTCAAAGGCTTTTATTGACAATTACATTAAGTTTATGCAAAGAGTCAATATTTGCAGTGTTGACCCTTCTTTTTCAAGACCTCTGCAATCCACCCTGGCATGCTGTCAATTAACTTCTGGGCCACATCCTGACTGATGGCAGCCCATTCTTACATAATCAATGCTTGGAGTTTGTCAGAATTTGTGGGTTTTTGTTTGTCCACCCGCCTCTTGAGGATCGACCACAAGTTCTCAATGGGATTAAGGTCTTGGGAGTTTTCTGGCCATGGACCCAACATTTCGATGTTTTGTTCTCCAAGCCACTTAGTTATCACTTTTGCCTTATGGCAAGGTGCTCCATCATTGTCACGCCATGGCTCTGGGGACACTGTTATGTTGAGCCAGGGTGTGTATTCTATGTTTGTATTTCTATGTTGGCCTGAGTGACTCCCAATCAGAGGCAACGAGTGTCAGCTGGTTGTCTCTGATTGGGAGCCATATTTAACTGTCTGTCTTTCACTTTGTGTTTGTGGTTTCTTGTTCTTGTTCGGTTTGTGTTAAACCGTAGACATCACGTTATCGTCCGTTGTTTTGATCGTGTGATCATTCTATTAATAAATATGTACGCATTCAACGCTGCGCCTTGGTCCTCCTCTGTAGATGACGATCGTGACAGAAGAAACCACCAAGATGTGACCAAGCAGCGTGTCCAGGAGCCATCGCCAGGGAGATCCCTAACAGATCTCCTTCGCCTCCTCGACTGGGTCAAGCCGAGTGAGGAAGAGAAGGGCTTGACATTGTGGCAGAAGGGCGAAAGGCTGGCGAGGGACATGGAGACCTGGTCCACGGGTAGGGGAGACGCCCAGAAATTTTTTAGGGGGGGGCTAACGCCGTGGACGACGGGCCAGCAGGAGACCGCGGCAGAGCGGCCCAGCGGATTGGCAGAGGAGGCCGCCAGGTTACGGGGGCCACTGGTCGAAGAGGGGGTGGAAGATGTAGAGGCACGGCGAGAGGTACTGGCGTGTGTTTCCAGTCCGGTCCGGCCTGTTCCTGATCCCCACGTAGGGCCAGTGGTGTGTGTTCCCAGTACGGTCCGGCCTGTTCCTGCCACTCGCACCAAGTCTACGGTGCGCGTCGCCAGCCCAGTCCGGCCCATTCCTGCTCCCCGCACCAAGTCTGTGGTGCGTTTCGTCAGCCCTGTCCGGCCCGTTCCTGCTCTCCGCACCAAGGCTGTGGTGCGCGTCGCCAGCCCAGTCCGGCCCGTTCCTGCTCCCCGCACCAAGTCTGTGGTGCGTTTCGTCAGCCCTGTCCGGCCCGTTCCTGCTCTCCGCACCAAGTCTGTGGTGCGCGTCGCCAGCCCAGTCCGGCCCGTTCCTGCTCTCCGCACCAAGTCTGTGGTGCGCGTCGCCAGCCCAGTCCGGCCCATTCCTGCTCCCCGCACCAAGTCTGTGGTGCGTATCGTCAGCCCTGTCCGGCCCGCTCCTGCTCCCCACACCAAGCCAGTGGTGTGCGTCGTCAGTCCAGCACGGCCCGTGCCTGTTCCCCACACCAAGCCAGTGGTGTGCGTCGTCGGTCCGGCACGGCCCGTGCCTGTTCCACTGGTGCCTGGTCCGGCACCGGTCAGATGCGTTACGCCGGGGCTAGAGCAATCCGCTCCATCAGTGTGCAGTCCAGCTCCGGCCAGCGGGGCCAGACCGGACCAGGGGTACTTTGGGGGGTTGGAGCGGGAGTGGGGATCAGGCCCGGAGCCGGATCCGCCGCCAAGGCGGAGTGCCCACCCGGTCCCTCCCCTGTGGTATTTAGTTGGCGCGGTCGGAGTCCGCGCCTTTAGGGGGGGGTACTGTCACGCCATGGCTCTGGGGACACTGTTATGTTGAGCCAGGGTGTGTATTCTATGTTTGTATTTCTATGTTGGCCTTAGTGACTCCCAATCAGAGGCAACGAGTGTCAGCTGGTTGTCTCTGATTGGGAGCCATATTTAACTGTCTGTCTTTCACTTTGTGTTTGTGGTTTCTTGTTCTTGTTTGGTTTGTGTTAAACCGTAGATATCACGTTATCGTCCGTTGTTTTGATCGTGTGATCATTCTATTAATAAATATGTACGCATTCAACGCTGCGCCTTGGTCCTCCTCTGTAGATGACGATCGTGACAATCATGCTGTAAAAGGCATTGTTCGTCACCAAACTGTTCTTGGATGGTTGGGAGAAGTTCCTCTCGGAGGATGTGTTGGTACCATTCTTTATTTATGGCTGTGTTCTTAGGCAAAATTGGGAGTGAGCCCACTCCCTTGGCTGAGAAGCAACCCCACACATGAATGGTCTCAGGATGCTTTACTGTTGGCATGACACAGGACTGATGGTAGCGCTCACCTTGTCTTCTCCAGACAAGCTTTTTTCCGGATGCCCCAAACAATCGGAAAGGGGATTCATCAGAGAAAATGACTTTACCCCAGTCCTCAGCAATCCAATCCCTGTACCTTTTGCAGAATATCAGTCTGTCCCTGATGTTTTTCCTGGAGAGAAGTGGTTTCTTTGCTGCCCTTCATGACACCAGGCCATCCTCCAAAAGTATTCGCCTCACTGTGTGTGCAGATGCACTCACACCTGCCTGCTGCCATTCCTGAGCAAGCTCTGCACTGGTGGTGCCCCGATCCCGCAGCTGAATCAACTTTAGGAGACGGTCCTGGCGCTTGCTGGACTTTCTTGGGCGCCCTGACGCCTTCTTCACAACAATTGAACCTCTCTCCTTGAAGTTCTTGATGATCCGATAAATGGTTGATTTAGGTGCAATGTTACTAGCAGCAATATCCTTGCCTGTGAAGCCCTTTTTGTGCAAAGCAATGATGACAGCACGTGCTTCCTTGCAGGTAACCATGGTTAACAGAGGAAGAACAATGATTTCAAGCACCATCCTCCTTTTAAAACTTCCAGTCTGTTATTCTAACTCAATCAGCATGACAGAGTGATCTCCAGCCTTGTCCTCGTCAACACTCTCACCTGTGTTAACGAGAGAATCACTGACATGATGGAAGCTGGTCCTTTTGTGGCAGGGCTGAAATGCAGTGGAAATGTTTTTTTGGGATTATGTTCATTTTCATGGCAAAGAGGGACTTTGCAATTAATTGCAATTCATCTGATCACTCTTCATGACATTCTGGAGTATATGCAAATTGCCATCATCAAAACGGAGGCAGCAGACTTTGTGAAAATTAGTATTTGTGTAATTCTCAAAGCTTTTGACCATGACTGTATATTACTGCCTTAATTTTTGCTGGACCCCAGGAAGATTAGCTGCTGCCTTGGCAGCAGCTAATGGGATTCATAATAAATACAAATACAAAATAAGATAAGATAGCGTAAAGCTGAAATGGATCAGTGTGTTTTATGCATCGTTCTGTTGTTGTATTATAGTCGTATGGCCTTACCTCGTTGGCATCGATGCCATTGTTCACGGACCAGGTGGTCTGGAAGTACTCCAGCATTCGCTGTTTAAGCTGCTGGGGTAGACGGTGAACCCTGATGAAGTCCTTCAAGTCCTTCATGCGCGTGTGGTAGAGGGAGCGCCGGGAGTACATCCGCTGGATGATGGCCGTCACGTTACCAAACACCACCGCATGCATCAAGGCTGGAGGGTGGAGGAGAGGAGAGAACAGAAGAGAAGAGGAGAGGAAAGGAGAGGAGATGGGGGAGGGGAGGAGAGCAGAGGAACAAGAGACAAAAGTGTAATCCCCATAACCACAGTGCGACTTACAAATGAAAAGACGCCAAACTGCGTCCAAACTTTCGGCCTGGACCTGGCATGCCCGCTTGCCCGCGCCAAACCAGGGTGCCGCACTCACCCCCTATGAGCATGGTGCAGATGGAGAAGATCTTCTCAGCGTCAGTGTTGGCACACACGTTGCCGAAGCCCACGCTGGTGAGGCTGCTGAGGGTGAAGTAGAGGGCAGCGATATAGGAGCTGCGTACTGAGGGTCCGCCCAGTGTGCTGTTGACGTATGGAGTCTCTAGACGCTTGCCCAGCTCATGGAGCCAACCTGGGGGGTAGGGGGGTGTAGGGGTGAGACCAGGTCAGAAGGTCAGCATTCACATAACTCCAAGCCACACTTACTTGTATAACTTGTATATATTTTTTTAATGAATCAACATTGAGAATTCAGACAAGTTGTGCTGGAACAAAGCTGGGCTGGGGAGAGAGAGATGAAACCAGGCCAAAAAGTATAGATTTCATGAGCATCTCTCACCTGACTTTGTGCCAAATAACTTGTAGAAACAGCACTATATCACTAAAATTTGATTGATTACTTAAGGGCTTATTATTAAACTATTTCCAAGGAGAATGCAAACAAATACACATTCAAAGAATATTCAGTTGTTTTATTTGTTTTTAGAGGGCCCTCTTCAGTCTTAACATATACACAAACTTTTCTAGATAATTGACAGCATTGGAATGTAAAGGGATAATCCTCCGCAAACCACTATTTCCTATGATTAACAGTGTTAAATAACCCTAATATGTGAAAACAATATCTTTGGTGAACAAATGTTTCATTTTGTCGATATAATACAAAAAATTGTTTTGGAAATCTATTGCAACTCAAGTCGACTACAAAACCCACAATGCAATGCTCTCTCTCTTGGCTGGCTGGCTGGCTAGCTAGTTAGCTAGCAAACGTAGCTACACACAATAATACTAAAGTCAAAATCAGCATGTGAAGTAGCTAGCGAGCTGTAGAATCGCCTAAACAAACTGCACTATAAATGTAAGAGTATCTCACCGAGTTCATCTTGCCAGAGCGAGTGCAGAGTACGTCGCTATGGCAACAATGGTCCTTTCCCACATTTCCCAAAGACACAGGGCTCATTGCGAGATTGTACTTGAAGGAGAAGCTGAGTTGAATAATTTGGTACACTTTTTAGATTGAGCACATCTAAGCGAAATATCTACTTTGTCATGACGATATAGACGGATGGATGTGTTCTAGACAAGTATGCCCACACCATCTATTGGCTGATTTGTCGATCTGGAGTGCAGGTCATTGTTTTAAAAGCGTTATGAAATGTGATATAGTGTGTTATCCCCTATCTCCAGTGACGAGAACCATTTAGTATGACGCTTTCCTACACAATTTCCTGATTTCACAGACGGACCACTTAGAAGTTAAATCATGGGGAGCATTTTTATTTAAACCACTGATAGAACATAGGCTTCCAACAAATTGACAGGAGTTTCATGATTTTTATTTCTGGGGGTGGATTATGCCTTTAAGAACGATGTTCTGGATGTGCAATAGGAGACACTTCTACTCTAATACTGTAAAATAAATGCTGTTTGTATCGTTAGAGAGCGAGCGTGAAAATCTTCTGTTGCGGTAGACTGCATATGTCACTATTCAGGTGGTCTGTCATCAAAGACTTAGAGTGATGGGGGCATTGGCAAGGCACTCGCTGGTTGCCACCCCTGCCAGGGCACACCAAGAGTCAGGAAGCTGGCATGGACTTAAAGGAGCGGGTAGAATGAGGTTGTGTCCTTCAGGGATAAATGAGGCCCAGTGTTGCGCCCCTTTGACACACACTTGAACACACACGTGGACACACACTTACACATGCCTACACGCACACACACATACAGGGTTGGAGACTTACATTTCGTGCCTCTATCGATGAGTATGATCAATATACCACGCGTGTGTGGGTGCGCATTGCGTGCATGTACACACGTGAATATCTTTACACCCCAGGCCCGAGTATTTGTTTGTGTCACCCCTCTCACCCTCTCACCCACCCGGCCCTCACCTTCCTCACTCAGCCAGACTCACCTATGTCCCAGGTGTCTGGGTCGTTGTTCTCCATCTCCTTGCGTCCGATGATGTACCAGATGCAGGCCATCCAGTGGGCCAGCAGGGCGAACATGGACATGAGCAGGGTGAGCACCATGGCACTGTACTGGGAGTAACGGTCCAGCTTCTGGAGCAGCCTCAACAGCCGCAGCAAGCGGACCGTCTTCAGCAGGTGGACCAGGGAGGTCTGGGACCAAGAGGAGAGAGAGGACAAAGATTAATTTTGAGAGAGTGGAGGTTGTGTAGATCATTGGAATTATATAGTAATATATATATATATATATATATATATATATATAGTAAATTAGAATTGTTTTCCACTCCACTTGGTGTGGAGTAGGTTTAAGATCATTGAAATGAAATCCTAATTAAATGTATTTTTTACATTTAAGGCAACATTCAAGACAACAAAATGTGGAAACTATGAAAACTGTGAATACAAGACCCTGTAGTGTATACAGTTGAAGTCGGAAGTTTACATACACTTTGGTTGGGGTCATTAAAACTCGTTTTTCAACCACTCCACAAATTTCTTGTTAACAAACTATAGTTTTGGCAAGTCGGTTAGGACATCTACTTTGTGCATGACACAAGTAATTTTTCCAACAAATGTTTACAGACAGATTATTTCAGTTATAATTCAATGTATCACAAATACAGTGGGTCAGAAGTTTACATACACTAAGTTGACTGTGCCTTTAAACAGCTTGGAAAATTCCAGAAAACTATGTCATGGCTAAATGACATCCTTTGAGTCAATTGGAGGTGTACCTGTGGATGTATTTCAAGGCCTACCTTCAAACTCAGTGCCTCTTTGCTTGACATCATGGGAAAATCAAAAGAAATCAGCCAAGACCTCAGAAAAAATATTGTTGACCTCCACAAGTCTGGTTCATCCTTGGGAGCAATTTCCAAACGCCTGAAGGTACCACGTTCATCTGTACAAACAATAGTACGCAAGTATAAACACCATGGGCCCACACAGCCATCATACCGCTCAGGAAGGAGACACATTCTGTCTCCTAGAGATGAACGTACTTTGGTTCGAAAAGTGCAAATCAATCCCAGAACAACAGCAAAGGACCTTGTGAAGATGCTGGAGGAAACAGGTACAAAAGTATCTATATCCACAGTAAAATGAGTCCTATATTGACATAACCGGAAAGGCCGCTCAGCAAGGAAGAAGCCACTGCTCCAAAACCACCATAAAAAAGCCAGACTACGGTTTGCACCTGCACATGGGGACAAAGATCGAACTTTTTGGAGAAATGTCCTCTGACAAAAATAGAACTGTTTGGCCATAATGACCATCGTTAAGCACGGGGGTGGCAGCATCATGCTGTGGGGGTGCTTTGCTGCAGGAGGGACTGGTGCACTTCACAAAATAGATGGCATCATGAGGAAGGACAATTATGTGGATATATTGAAGCAACATCTCAAGACATCAATCAGGAAGTTAAAGCTTGGTCGCAAATGGGTCTTCATTTAAAAATGTTTTAGTCATTTAGCAGACGCTCTTATCCAGAGCGACTTATAGTTAGTGAGTGCATACATTTTCATACTGCCCCCCCGTGGGAATCGAACCCACAACCCTGGCGTTGCAAGCGCCATGCTCTACCAACTGAGCTACACAGGGGGCTTCCAAATGGACAATGACCCAAAGCATACTTCCAAAGTTGAGGCAAAATGGCTTAAGGACAACAAAGTCAAGGTACTGGAGTGGCCATCACAAAGCCCTCACCTCAATCCTATAGAAAATGTGTGGGCAGAACTGAAAAAGCGTGTGCGAGCAAGGAGGCCTACAAACCTGACTCAGTTACACCAGCTCTGTCAGGAGGAATGGGCCAAAATTCACCCAACTTATTGTGGGAAGCTTGTGGAAGGCTACCCGAAACGTTTGACCCAAGTTAAACAATTGAAAGGCAATGCTACCAAATACTAATTGAGCATATGTAAACTTCTGACCCACTGGGAATGTGAAGAAAGAAATAAAAGCTTAAATAAATCATTCTCTCTACTATTATTCTGACATTTCACATTCTTAAAATAAAGTGGTGATCCTAACTGACCTAAGACAGGGAATGTTTACTAGGATTAAATGTCAGGAATTGTGAAAAACAGAGTTTAAATGTATTTGGCTAAGGTGTATGTAAACTTCCAACTTCAACTGTATATGTACAGGTATATGCCAAAATAATGGAAACATCAACATAAAGTGTCTTAATATGGCGTTGGGCCACCACAAGCCGCCAGAACACCTTCAATGCACCTTGGCATAGATTCTACAGGTGTCTGGGACTCTATTGGAGGGATGCGACAACATTCTTCCATGGGAAATTCCATCATTTGGTGTTTTGTTGATGGTGGTGGAAAACGCCTTCTCAGATGCCGCTCCAGAATCTCCCATAAGTGTTCAATTGATATCTGGTGACTGAGATGGCCATGGCATATGGTTTACATAGTTTTCATGCTCATCAAACCATTGAGTGACCACTCGTGCCCTGTGGATGGGGACATTGTCATCTTGGAAGAGACCACTCCCATTAGGATAGAAAATGATTCACCATAGGTTGAAGGTGATCACTCAGAATAGCTGTGTATTTATTGCCGTTTACCTTGCCCTCTAAGGGGTTGAGTGGACCTAAACCATGCCAGGAAAATGCACCCCAAACCATAATGGAGTTTAAACTTAATTTACTCAAGTCTTTCCTTTATTTTGACAGTTACCTGTATATGTGTATACCAGTGGTAAACTTTTTCAGCAGGTACCATTTTTTCCGCCACAATTTCTGGGACCCCATTTTTTTGCAATAATTTCTCACGACCCTACCCCAAATATAATGACATTATCTTACAAATCGATACATTTCAATTTTTACATCAACAAATAACCTTAAATTCATTACATTTCTATCCCTTATCAAAATGAAAAGAAAACAATAAATACATTTACTCAATAAAATTGTATTTTTCAAATATCTTTCTCAAAAACATTTGTATATTGTCCTATATAATAATCTGTATCCTTAATTCTTTATACAAGAATTAAAACAAAAATGTTGAATAACACTGGTGTATAAATGTTTTGTCATTTAGCAGACGCTCTTATCCAGAGCGACTTACAGTTAAGTGAGTGCATACATTTCTTTTTATACTGGCCCCCCGTGGGAATCGAACCCACAACCCTGGCGTTGCAAGCGCCATGCTTTACCAACTGAGCTACACGGGGCCCGTGTCATACAGCACGTGTCATACTCATTCCACAGAGGGCCGAATGTCTGCAGGTTTTCGATCCTCCCTTCAAAACTAAAAACCAGCAGACACTAGGCCCTCACATGGAATGAGTTTATATATTGGCACCCTTGCACTTTACAATGGAGTGCAATGGAGCAGAATGTTCTGTTTTCTCTTTTCAAACCTGGTTGAATGGCTATTTTTACCCTGTAGGCACCTGCAACTTACCAAAGGTAATATAAATTACACTTGCTGAGAATCACTTGCCTCCAGCCAAATTAATTTGAATTTATCCAGGCCATTTATTTATTTTTTAAGTGAATTTGTATGTGTATAGGTACATTATAGTGTATGTGAATATACGACGTCATATACCCACCACGGTGATGTTGAAGGCATAGAGCAGGTCAAAGGGCAGTGCAGCCACCAGGTCGACAAAGAACCAGGTGGTGGCGTAGTGGATGCAGATGGAGCGTGTCTCGTACACCACCTGACCCGACGTGCTCACAAAGGATGTTCGGAAGTTTAGGATGATGTCTGTGAATGGAGTGGGTGTGAAATAAGTGATTTGGTTCCAAAATAGCTAAATGTTTGCTTAGTGGTCAAAGAAATGTTTCAGTCAAGGTAGCATAGTGGTCACCCAACCCTGGGGGAAAACCCTGTGCATGCTTTTGCATCAGCCCTGCACTACAGCACCTCATTCAACGTATATCTCACCAAGAAGTGTTGTAGTTTCTGGCTGGAGCAAAAGACTGCATCCAACCTGGGTTCAAATACTATTCAGGTATTTCAATTACTTTCACATAAATTGCGAAGTATTTTCATATTTTTTATTTTAAAATACAAGTAGTTGAATATTGGAGAAATGTATTTGGAAATACATTTGGAAAGTATTGGCATGTATTTGAAAATACTCAAATACACAGACAAGGGTATTTCCAAATTCAAATATTTCAGTACTCCATGCATTTGAACACAGGTCTGTTTGGTCCTATGGTATTTGAAATATATTTGGAAACAATTGTTGGAAATAGTTTCATATAGTATTTATAGGAAATTATTTGAAAATACTTTCAAATACTTCGAAAATAAGTAGTTAATTTGGCCAAATAATTAGAAAATAATAAAATATACAGAAAATAAGTATTTAAAATACAAATACTTAAATAAGCATGTATTTGAACCCAGGTTTGAGTGACCATGACATATACTATCTATCTTGGAAAATAATCTACTACAGGAGAAACACTGGATCAGATGTAATTACTGGACAGTTAATACAAATACTTGAAAGGTCTTCTTCCGTCCACTCCTCTTCATTTACATCAATACTAGGCTCATATGTGCTGACTAAGAGAACAGCAAACCATTATGAAGCAAAATCCTAACGTGATTATTTCCAATCTCCTGCCTCCTATTCCCTAGATCCCAGACATCCTACCGCCTATAGAGTACCTCCATGGTGATGTCGTTGACGACGGTGCAGCAGGTGGCCGCATTCAACTCCTATTTCCTATCCCTTATCTCCTACAACTTACCTCCTTTCTCCTCCTTTCCTTTCACCTTATCCCCTTATTTCCTAAGAACATCTCCATGACAGTGTGGCTTTTGATGGAGAAGCATCCAATGTCCTATTCCTTATCTCCTACAACCTTCCCATCTCCTATACCTTTCCCTTAATCCCTTACTTCCTCACCCAGGATGAAGAGCACTTCCTCAACAATGTCGTTAACAATGGTGGCACGTCCTATTTCATATTCCTTACTTCCCATATCCTACAACCTACCTCCTACCTCCTATTCCCTTACTCCACCCATCTCCTCACCCAGGATGAAGAGCATCTCCACGGCGATGTCGCTGACGATGGTGGAGCGGGCGGCCGTGTCCAGCTCGTCGTAAGGCGTAAAGCAGACGTTGTAGGGCACGGTGACCGCCACGTAGAAGGTGGCCAGGAGGATCATCCAGTCCCATAATGCCTTGGATATGCTGTAGTGAAGCAGGATGAAGCGGGACTTCTGCACCGCCGCTACCTTGTACTCCGGGAGGGACGAGGGCTTCTCAAACATGTTCTGGTAGAGGGAGAGAGAGAGAGATGTGTTGGTAGAATGATTATTGGTAAAGGATGAATGGGATTGTGTGTGAAGTGAGGTGTTGAATAAACTCAAAACAGTCATCCACAAACATTCTCCACCGCATGCTGTTTGGGGCCAGTTTCTCAAGTTCCTCAGTTTCTCATTGTTTCTGCTACACATCATAAATCCAAAGATATCAAATTTGTCCATCAGCGCCTTATCAAAAAACAAGGTCCTCTGATCAAGATGACTTCCTGTGAGGGTGGAAGTGAGGCGATGATGAAGGGTAAACGACCAACTACGCCACACTGAGCATCAGAATGACATGCATGATTTCAACTCTTCCTTCAACATCCCCTCATCCAAAAGTCATCAGCTATTTCTCGCCCAAGTGTATTTCTCGACTTTTCTAATCTCGTCTCATTAAAGAGAAATGAGAGAAGTGCCGAATCGACTGAACTTCACCATAAAAATGTGAAATAACACTTATTCATTCCCCCCTCGTTGGAATTCTTGATTGAGAAAGCTAATTACGGGTGAGCTATATTATAATACCATAGCGAATCCGAGTGTCCCATCTGGGGTTGGCATAATGACAGCACAGATCTGACTATTGGACATAATAGCCATAACAATGTTGAGGAGACATTGAGTAAAGCTATTACCTTGGACAGAAAAGAAAGAGGGGTGAAAAGAAACAGAAAAGGCTAAATGGATCAAGGACTCCAGCCACTCAAGCCACGGCCTGTTCACCTCGCTTCCATCTAGAAGGCGGAGACAGTACAGGTGCATCAAAGCTGGGAGTGAGACATGGAAAAACTGCTTCTAACTCCAGGCCATCCGACTGTTAAACAGTCATCACTAGCTGGCCTCTGACCGGTACCCTGCCCTGAACCATAGACACTGTCACTAGCCGGCTACCACCCGGTACTCTACCCTGCACCGTAGAGACTGCTGCTGTATGTACATAGAGTCATTGAACACTGGTCACTTTAATAATGTTTACACACAGTTTTTCCCACTTTATACAGTTGAAGTCGGAAGTTTACATACACTTAGGTTGGAGTCATTAAAACTTGTTTTTCAACCACTCCACACATTTCTTGTTAACTAACTGTAGTTTTGGCAAGTCGGTTAGGACATCTACTTTGTGCATGACACAAGTAATTTTTCCAACAATTGTTTACATACAGATTATTTCACTTATAATTCACTGTATCACAATTCCAGTGGGACAGAAGTTTACATACACTAAGTTGACTGTGCCTTTAAACAGCTTGGAAAATTCCAGAAAATGATGTCATGGCTTTAGAAGCTTCTGATAGGCTAATTGACATCATTTGAGTCAATTGGAGGTGTACCTGTGGATGTACACCTCCAATGCTCCAAAACCGCCATAGAAAAGCCTGACTACGGTTTGCAACTGCACATGGGGACAAAGATCATACTTTTTGGAGAAATGTCCTCTGGTCTGATGAAACAAAAATAGAACTGTTTGGCCATAATGACCATCATTATGGTTGGAGGAAAAAGGGTGCAGCTTGCAAGCCGAAGAACACCATCCCAGGGTTTGTGATGGCCACTCCAATACCTTGACTTTGTTGTCCTTAAGCCATTTTGCCACAACTTTGGAAGTTTGCTTGGGGTTATTGTCCATTTGGAAGACCCATTTGTGACCAAGCTTTAACTTCCTGATTGATGTCTTGAGATGTTGCTTCAATATATCCACATAATTGTCCTTCCTCATGATGCCATCTATTTTGTGAAGTGCACCAGTCCCTCCTGCAGCAAAGCACCCCCACAGCATGATGCTGCCACCCCCGTGCTTCACGGTTGGGATGGTGTTCTTCGGCTTGCAAGCCACCTCCTTTTTCCTCCAAACATAACGATGGTCATTATGGCCAAACAGTTCTATTTTTTTTTCATCAGACCAGAGGACATTTCTCCAAAAAGTTTGATCTTTGTCCCCATATGCAGTTGCAAACTGTAGTCAGGCTTTTCTATGGCGTTTTTGTACCTATACTTTTGTACCTGTTTCCTCCAGCCTCTTCCCAAGGTCCTTTGCTGTTGTTCTGGGATTGATTTACACTTTTCGAACCAAAGTACGTTCACCTCTAGGAGACAGAACGCGTCTCCATCCTGAGCGGTATGACGGCTGCGTGGTCCCATGGTGTTTATACTTGCGTACTATTGTTTGTACAGATGAACGTGGTACCTTCAGGCGTTTGGAAATTGCTCCCAAGGATGAACCAGACTTGTGGAGGTCTACAATTTTATTTCTGAGGTCTTGGCTGAATTCTTTTGATTTTCCCATGATGTCAAGCAAAGAGGCACTGAGTTTGAAGGTAGGCCTTGAAATACATCCACAGGTACACCTCCAATTGACTCAAATAATGTCATTTGTAAGTGAAATAATCTGTCTGTAAACAATTGTTGGAAAAATTACTTGTGTCATGCACAAAGTAGACGTCCTAACCGACTTGCCAAAACTATAGTTTGTTAACAAGATATTTGTGGGGGTTGAAAAACGAGTTTTAATGACTTCAACCTAAGTGTATGTAAACTTCCGACTTCAACTGTATATATAGACAGACACACATACCTACACTCCGGACTCTGACATTGCTTGTTCTGATATTTCGTATCATTTCATGTATTATTTACTTTTTGGATTATGTGTGTATTGTTATTGTATTGCTAGATATTACTGCACTGTTGGAGCTAGAAACGTAAGCGTTTCGCTGCACCTGCAATAACATCTGCAAATCAGTGTAGGCGACAAATAAACGTTGATTTGATGGGTTGTGATTCGTCCAGAAACAATGGTCCTGTGTGGAAAGGGGGGTTGCCTGGGTAATTAAGTATGAAATGTAATTTCCCTGGTATGTGTCCGGGAGGCGGTGAGCACCGTCGTGCCTGTGTAATCTTCTTAATGAGGCTCCTCAGAATGGATAGCCCTTACGTAGGGAAATAATTGGGGGAGCGAGGGAATTGTGGTCACACAAAAAAGGAGGAAGAGGAGGAGACTGGCGTAATTATAACATTCCTAATTTTGTGTGTGTGTGTGGGGGGGCCGGGGGGGATCCAGAAGTCTCCACAAGAATAGTAAATGAACAAACATTTTGCTAGTCAAATGCTATTTCTAGGGGGTTTAGGGTTAAGGTTAGAATTTGTGTTAGGGTTAGAATTAGGTTTAGGGTTAGGAGCTAGGGTTAGGGTTAGGTTTTTGGGTTAAGGTTAGGGTTAAGGTTCGGGTTAGGTAAAATAGGATTTTGAATGGGACTGAATTGTGTGTCCCCCCAAGGTTAGTTATACAAGACTGTGTGTGTGTGCGTGTTTGTGTGTGTGTAAATGGCTGAATTGTCCCCAAACCATCAGCTCTTGACCCATACTGACAGGCTCCTCTCAATTGTGAAAAGAGAAGAAGAAAAGAGGGACATTTCACAGTTACAATGACCATGTGTTATTTTCCACTTGTTTCGACTGCTGGGATGTTTCCCCCACTTCAATTAAGAAGTTGAACGGCACTGAGGCAAATCCTAAGGAAAAGCCGAGCTGCTCGGGCTGATTTAATGTTTTTTTCTGAGCGAATGAGTCGGGACATCAGCGAAAGCTTTTTTAATTTGGCTCACATTACATCACCGGGGTCGGGTCAATCCATCCTTCCGTCCGACAGCCAACCGAGCACGTCCTAGTGATGATGAGAGGCGGAAAAGGCCGCTGCGGGCACCAAGTGTTGCTAAATCTCCCTGCGGCAACAGCTGATCTTTGTACTTCATCAAGCTTCACCCAGGCAACCCCAACGCGCATATCCCCCAGTATGCTTTGAACTGAGAAAAACAAACCGTGACACAGACAGATGTAGCGTACATAAGACGGGCTCATGGTTGCTCATGGTCTCTTGATGAGTTAGCCCTGCCTGTGACTTGAAAATCAGTGTCCGCCCTCGGCCCAAGAGGCCATTTCCTCTTGGGCTAATGGTTAAGACGTTGGTTTCTCCCATGAGGGACCCGGGTTTATATCTTGCCCGTGACACAGACAGACTTTCTCTAAAACAGAGTATAGTACAGAGTAAAGATCCAACCAGCTGAAACTGCATGGTTACTGTTAGATTTGACCAAAGTAGACGGACATATAACGACCAACTCCACAAAGTTGCTTCATCATCTCCCTCTTGAACAATCCACAACAACCTGCTCACTTACACACGCACACATAAAAAGCAGGTCAAGACTGGTGGACTCATTGGAAACTGGGTTACAGTAGATTATATAAACCAGGGGGGACTAGAATTACACACTCCCAACCCCAGAGAGACCATAGGGAGATAGATGAAGAGGCAACGAGAGGACAGAGGGGAGAAATACTTGGCTGAATCAGGTGTTTTATAGAGTAGTTCTGGAACAAAACCCTGAACACCCAGTAGCTCTCCAGGAGGAGGGTTAGCCAAACCTGACACAATCGATGCCTCGCATCCTCTCTCCTTGCCTCCTTCTAAAAACCCATTGGAGAATAAGGTCCAAGGGGAGGGACCTTGGAATTTCTCCTCCAATACGGTTGAGAAGGAGGCCAGGAAATGGGATGCGAAGAATCACAGAAAGACGAATTGAGATAGAGCCTTCGTTAGATAGTTCTTCCCAACTCCTCTGAGCAAAAAGCCTAAATATAGGAATTGGGGGTAATCATTGTGCATTTTAGGGCACAGAGATGCTGTGCAGTTATTCCCCACGTTCTCGGTAGTTAAAGTAGCCCTCTCTTGACAGCCTGTTCTCTCTTCTCTCACACACAAGTGTTCCTTCCTTCCTGTCTTTCTGGACTGATGCTACAAATAGTGAGCTATTCACTGCAAAGCCAACTTCTAACAGGGAAGAGATTAAAGGGGGGGGGGGGGGGGGGTGTATATATATATATATATATATATATATATATATATATATATATTTATAAACAAGGTGGTTCAAGCCCTGGATGCTGATTGGCTGACAGCCGTGGTATATCAGACCATGTACCACTGGTATGACAAAACATTTATTTTTACTGCTCTAATTACATTGGTAACCAGTTTATAATAGCAATAAGGCCAATATACCATGGCGAAGGGCTGTATCCAGGCACTTAGCCGTAGTATGTTGGCCATATACCACACCCCCTTGGGCCTTATTGCTTAAATAGACATTACA